GTTCAAATATGTGTACCTTTGTGTAAAAAAACAAACAAACCACCCCAGAGTATGGATATAATTTGTATGCATATCCTGGTTATTGTGTCATGGTATTTGAAGTGACAGCTTATTTTGCTGCCCCAGTAAAGGGATGGAAAGGAAGATATGTGTAAACTGATGGCTTTCTTCTGCGTATTGTATTACTGGTAAAATGTCAGAACATTGCAAACAGGTTAGTGAAGTTTGCGCTAATTATTATATCCTGCTACAAGATCCTCATATGAACCCGAAATACCTGTAGATACAGTTGCCAGTGAAAAAAATTGCAGCATTTCCCACTCTTTCCCTATTGCAAATCCGTATGTTAAGGAACTGGGCAGTGCAGGCAGGGAATTCTGGGAACTACTTCCAGATGGATGGTTTTCTTTGCCTGGGTCTCCCATCATGCTAGGGAGGGCTGTATCACACTGCATGCAAAGCACATCTCCGTGTGAATTGGGGTTTTGCATGTGAACACTTGCTGTGGTAGTTCTTTTCAAAGGAACCTTGGTGTTTTGCTAAAACCCTTTTTAGGGGAAAAAAATCTTGATAATATCAGGGAACTCAGGTGCCCCAAAATGGTCAAGGGATAAGTGTGTTATATATGTTATTTATTATGTACTTGTGGCAGCATCACTATGTAAATATGAAAAAGATGGAGCTTGTGTTATAATACCATAATGCACAAATAAACCATTTTATGCCAAGTGCAAAAAATGCTCCGTTGCATTGGATATTAAAATGTTGCCTTTAAGCAGCTATCTCTCATAAATTCTTTAATTAGAATTTCTGTTCTGGGTAGGGAGTTGGATTTATTGGTTGTCCCTAGTTTGTATATTAATATTAGGCATGATTGGTAATTCTGATACATTTGAACAGCATATATAGAAAAATAATGGCACTATGGGTTAAGGCATAGGACAGGTTCTCCCTCTCTCCCGCCGTCTGTCGCTTGGTTGCAGAAGCCCTTGGTTGGATTCGAGTGTGTGTATATGTGGACACGCACGCAGGCATTCTGCCCTGCCTGATGTGAAATACTAACAGCTGGTGTGCAGCTGTACACCTTGTTCTGGGACATTTTCTCATAGCCAAGAAAGATTGAGATGGAAGGTGGGGTTTTTTGAAAACATTTTTATAGCCCTTTCCACTGTTGTAATTCTTGTTAAACACTTCTCACTCCCCCGGTGTTCTTAACTGCTTTACAAGTTCATTTTTCCTCATGTCCCTAGGATTCAGCCCATGCTGTAGTGGATGGCCTACTGTGTTGTGAATAGCTCAGACTTCTTTTGTCTTGATTGACTAAAAATGTTTCCTAGTTGTCTATCCAGGCAGCCAGCCGAGCTTCCAACATGGCAAAGCTTGGACACAATAAGCACTGTCCCTCCTCGCTACTATCTAATAGAAGGCTACCAAGGCATTGTTGAAAATTTCTGAAAGTGTTTCTTTAACAGAAGTGCCAGTGTTCTTGAACAGCTTAGGAATTCTTGTTTTATTTACAGTTCAGAAAAAGGGTGTGTCTTGCCTGTGTGTGGTTTTTTTTCCTTGAATTTCTTTTTCCTTTTAAAGGGAAGGGATGCTTTTTTGCATAGATTCTGAGGCTGTAAAAATCTTCATACTATATCAGTGGGCTTTTGTAGAATTAGTGGCAGTGGTTTTGTTTGCTTAAATGAATACTGGATTCCTTCTCCTCACTGTTGTACCCAAATATTGTCCCTTCCTTCTGCACTGTATATTTCTTATAGCTGAGAAGAGACCTCATTGGAATGAGAATTCACTCCAAAGTGTTGCAAATACAGCTTAGCTCTTGAAGAAGTAGTACTGTTAATCTACTGATGGTTTTCTTGCTGAAGAATCTCTCGGAATATTTATTAAGAGACAATTCTCAGCTTCTGCCTTCTTACAATATGTTCCATGACACAGAGAGTTACTGGGGGGGGGGGGGGGGCTGAAATGGGAAATGGGTTTTGGTTTGCGCTCAAAATAAACACAGAATGCATCACAGTTTCTTTTGAACTGTTTAGGGGTGACGATGGTTCAGTGGAGCGGAAACTCAATGTTTAGATAGTTGCAGGATGAGGCAAACAAAACTAAACAAAATAGGAAGATCTGACAAGCAAGCTGGCCAGGCTGATGTGGCTCAATTCAGTTCTCCCTTCCCCCTCTGCATGCTCCTCCATTGGTTATGTATTGGCTCATCCACCAATCTTCCCAATATCATCATCTTCCTTTCCTACCTGCTCTTAGGTGTTACTCCTGAGGCACAGCATATTCAAGCCAGTCCTCTCCCAATATTTCCAAGATGTTGGGTTTGTTGACTGGAAGGTTGGCAGTTTGAGATCTAAGCACTGTATGACAAGGTGAGCTGCCATTATTTGCTTCAGCTCCTGCCCACCTAGCTGTTTGCAAATGCAAGTAGATAAATAGGTACCGCTTCAGTGGGAAGTTAACAGTGTACTCAGTGTATAGTCATGTCAGCCACGTGACAACAGAAGCATCTTTGTACCTTGCTGGCTCCCTCAGGTAGGAAACTAGATGTGTATCACCTCCTATATTTAGATATGGCTGGACAGGGGAAACTTTTACTACTACTACTACTACTACTTTTTGATTTAACTTTTCTGTTATTTCACCAATTATGAGTAATTCAACTTGTGAATGTGTGTGTGTGTGTGTGTGTGTGTGTGATATTCAGCTTTGTTGGGGTATTTTCCCATGTCATTATAGTTGTGCTTTTAAAGTTGTAGCAACATTTCAGCAGAATCTCAGGAAAATACCCCAACAAAGCTGAATACCGTACATATAAATACCCACGAAAACTTAAGAAAACAAAAAACCATATACATATGTATGTATGTATGTGTATGTATATATATATATATATATATGTGTGTATGTATGTGTATATATATATATATATATATATATATATATATACACACACATACACACACACACACACACACACACACACGTTCAAATTTTGATCAGTATTTGGTCCAATCTTGGTAAAATACGAATCTCAGTCTGAACGTGGATCACTCAAAGCTAAATATTCTGTGTATTAAATGGTTTGTGAACAGAATATTCTCACATAACCAAATAAGAATGTGGAGTATATCCTAATATGAGTTTTTCCAAATCATAGCATCCTCCTGAGGCATGAACTTTTGATTTCCAAAATTCCCAGCAGTGGTCATGTTAACTGGAGAATTCTGTATTTAGCTTTAACATCTTGAAAGGCACCCAGTTTGAGGAAAGGATCTGTAACCAATCGTAATGGGACCCAGGTTAAATCACTGAAGTTCTTTGTGTCTTTGAAATTTACAAGAAACATTAAATACAATGTTTTTGTATTTTACAATATTTGTAAACATGCAAATATACTTTCTGGGAAAGATAAACTTTATGTTTTGTTTATGATGGCGCCCCTAAGATATTTGTCAGAATGACTGGTGCCCCTGAAGTTATAAAAAGTTGAGAACCACCTTTCTACAAACATTCTCAGTTCATGTGGGTGACATTGTACATTAAGGCAGTATTTGTCCTAGAATAGGCTTTAAAAAGAGCTTTTCTTCTGATTTCTTAGATTTTAAGGTAAGGGTAAGAATTGTCTACATTTGGTCAAGTAAGAACATTTTTTTAAAATTACAAAACAATAGGTGGAAATTTCAGACAACTTTTTCAACTCTGTCGAGTAATAGTTGTGATTTTGGAAGCTTGAAAAAATTTCCCAAACACTTAAGATTAGAAGAAGGGAATGCAGATGCTTGGGAGTGCAATTCTCATTTGTACTAATCGGTTTTGCTAATGATCAATGATTACAGGAGCTGTAAATCTCAAACAGATGAGGAATGCCAGGTTACTTCTTGGATAATCTTCTTAGTTCCAGAATTAGTTACACAATATGCAGAAAAGGTTATCAGAAGGAGAAGATTGAACAAACCTTTTGATAAAAGAGAAGTTTTGAAGTGACGCACGTTCCCTTGAAAGAGAATATCTCATAGTAATTTATGTGACATTTATTAGCTATATTTGGAGATGCACCAGCAACTAAAAGAATCCGAAGTGGTAGCAATGGAAATTTTTTACATCACAATGAGAAAGGAGTGGGATGCATGCTCATATTTTATGTCTTAATAAGGCTTGTAAACCCCATGCTATTATTTATTTGAAGACATAATATCAAAGGAGCTTCCTTAGCTTTTTCCTTCCTAGGATAGTTAGGTTTTAGCTTGTTAAAATATTTCCTTGATCCCTTCAATACAATGATATGAAATGAGGAAGTGACTGAGATGCCAGTTGTGACACCAGGAGGCTGATTGCACCATTTCTCTGGCTCAGCTTCAGCATTTTTCATATCATCTAGGGGGAAAGTGAAAGACGGTGTACAGTATATTAGCTCCTATGGAGGATGTACATTAGAGGAGAGTAAATGTTATTCTTGTAATGTCAGCAGCATTGAGTTGAATTTGTGAGAACCTTCCTCCTCCCCCCCCCCTTTATAATGAACGCGGGAAAAAGTAGCATTTAAATAAAGTAATATTACCTTGGCAGGGTTTTTTTTTTACAGTGGTTGCTTTAAATAAATAAATAACAAGCCCACAAGATAGGTTAGTCAGATTTTTAGGGCAACATATAATTTAAGATTGAAATGAAGGTTTGAACAAGGTTTTCCCGCTGAGGTTCTCCAGGGCCGTATGCATACGGTGCCACACAGAAAGTTAAAAAAAAATGCAGTGCAAAAAAAATCCATTCTTATCTAGCTACTACAACATTTATGCTTTCCTGCTTGCTTTATTTTCAAAGTGTTCAAATTGCTTCTTTGCCTGTAAGGTTTCCGAGATAATAGCAATAAAAAAGGAGGGAAAATTAACAATAGTAAAATTTACAACAAAACCACACACTACAATCAAACAAAAAAAATAACTCAACAGCTTTGATTGCATTGCCAATATCTTTTTTTGTTTTCTTCTTCGTAGGAAAGTCCTTTGATATCACCTATGTACGCCTAAAGTTCCATACCAGCCGTCCAGAGAGCTTTGCCATTTACAAGCGCACTCGAGAAGATGGTCCATGGGTGCCCTACCAATATTACAGTGGCTCCTGCGAGAAAACATATCACAAACCCAACCGAGGTTTTGTCAAAAGTTGGGAAGATGAACAGCAGGCCGTTTGTACAGATGAGTTCAGTGACATCTCGCCACTCACCGGTGGCAATGTGGCCTTCTCAACACTGGAGGGAAGGCCCAGTGCTTATAACTTTGACAACAGTCCTGTCTTGCAGGTAAGAAAACTTGGAACTTTTCTAAGACTGGTGTGTTTCATTTCTTAATGTCCATGTCATTCCAAAACCTCGTCGCTCTCTTTTTTTTTCCTAGGGAACCTGACATCTTCCATTCTATATAGTCTCACTTTCTCCCCATTTTTGCCAACTTGTCATGGCTTAGATTAGGAATGCAAGGAGAGAGATCATACTTCCTTGCCATCCCTCCCTATAAATCCTTTCCCAAAATGACTTGACGTGGTTGCCAAAGATAATATACATAGGGAGAAAAACAAGATGGGGGAGGAAGCATTAACTTCCTTCTCTCTATGTGCAAATTCCTATTTATTCAGTCAGGTCCTTAATTTAGAACAGACACCTCCGAAAAGGTACTTATGACCCAGATTTGAAGTCCCAGTGCGCCCCCCCCCCCAAATATCTTTCCACAGTTACATGGCCACATTTTGGACACCTAGCAACCAGCCCATATTTACGGCCATTTGCAGCACCTCACAGTCAGTTTGATCACAATTTACTGACATTTACTTCTGCTCTCCAACAAAAATGCTCCAAAGCAAATAATGGGTTCACTTAATGACCACGGCGTTCACTTAATGACTTCAGCATTTGCTATATAACATACATTCATGTAAGGGTATGTGTATGAAGAGTAGAGAGGCTTTTGTGTCAATCGGGGGGAGAATGCATGCATATGCATGTAGCCAAGTTCCTGTAAAGCAACTTTTAGCATGTAACGAAATATTCTGGATTACAAACAGACCAGTCACAATTGGCCACAATAGAGGTCACAATTCTTTACTTGTACTAGGCAGTGAGTGCATATATTTATGTGTATACTGAATTCAGAACAAGACTAGTAAAACCAGGAGAATGTTTTGATTGCTTTTCTGGTCCATAGTCCAGTTTCTAATATTTTGGTGGGAGAAAACCAGTGCCAACTTTTAGCTAGTTAAAATTATAATGATTCACACCTCTAATGAGAAAACCAGAGTTTCCCTTTTATGGGAAAAAAGTTTTGCACCAAATTGTTATGATGTTTGTTTTCTCTCGTGGGATCCATTAACTTCCGTTTCAAGTTATTGTTAACATACTTTAAATCTATTCTACATGAAATGAACAGGAAGAGTGTGAGATAATGCTGTTATGCAGTGGTTGTTCAGCTTTACTTAAAGCATGTTACAATAGTTGTTTTTCATTCTGAGAAACAGCAGAAGGTCAAGGTAGACATCCATTTGGAACAACAATGTCTTAAGCTTGCATTGGCCAGCAAATGAACCATGGCAAAGATAACGAGGAATAAAAATTGCACATCAACACAGCACACAATGTAACCGGTAGTATTTACAGTGTATTTTGAACATTCTATATGTATATTTGTGGAAAAGTAAAGCCCAGTACTTATCTATGTATTTAAATTCTTTTATTTTCTCCCCCAATTTTTGGACTGAGAATTGGGAAGCATTCCAGATGGTTTGGAACAGAGGGCAGGGAAGATGTGGCACAGAGCTAAATTCCACAGTATCCTCTCATTCGTAGGGATATAACTTGATTATAATGAGGGTAGTGAGATGGCTCCAGTGTAATTCTAGGCAGTGATGGGTGGTTCTTTGTACCATGCTTCCATGCTGTCTGTTTTGCTCTTTCTTATATGTGGCAATCCTTGCCTCAAGCAAACATAACTTGTTGTTTTGCTCAAGATAAAGAGACACGGAGCTGAAAAAAATTAGAGAAACATGGAGCAACATATATATATATATATATTTAGTTAGAAGTCCATCAAGCTTGGTTAAATGTCCACTAAATGACACACTGTATCAGCCTACTCATTGCACCTTGCAGAAGTACCATAATTCCCATCCATGTGTGGAAGGCACCCAACAAATGGAACTGCAAAGCATTTGTGACTGGGACTGTAATTGTTGAGCTTTGTTAACTGCAACATAATGCCGAAATAGTTTGCAAAAATATTGCCAGCCACCCTTACCTTTGCTTAGTAGATGATTCTGTATTGATTCTGGTCTTTAAACATAGGCAAGATGCAGTCCAGGAAGATTGTGACTCACAAGATTGACAAAGTCACAGCCCTAGCCATTAGGATTTTCATTGACATATCTTTGCCAGATCTTCCACTCTGTAGGCCTATAGGCTTGCCCAGTTCGTGACCTCTGAACCTCAAGAGCTTGATAATATAATGAATAAACTGATCAAGACTTCTATTGATCACAATGACTATACCAGAGAGTGCCCATTTCTGAGCTAGAAGCTTGGTAGCCAACATAGCCACTAGGGAGCAACTATGGCTGAAGAATTAGAATGTGGACTTGAAATCCAAATTGGTAATATTAGGATCATTCAAGGGAAGCAAACTGGATTTCTTAATTGAGACTAAGGATAAAAGAAAGCCATAATTTAACCAAGAAAAGAAAAGAGCAAAAGGTCAAGTTATATCACTCATTCCTTATCCCAAAGGTGCTTTTTCAGGAGGCAACTGGATTTTCTTGTTTTTTTCTTTTGAAGATGTTTTGCTTCTCATCCAAGAAGCTTCTTCAGCTCTGACAGGGTAGTGGGGAATGGAAGGATTTATATTTCTTGCAGACAGCCGGTCATTTGCATCCTTTTAGAGGGTCGTTGAAGCACTTGGAGGTTTATCTGTGTCCTCAGAGTCACCTGGTTCCTATAGTCTGCAGTTTTTCCTCTGGAAATCCATTCCTACTCCCACACCATTCAAAGGATGTTCATCCCAAATTGTACAGCTAAAAGTTGTAGAGATTCTCACTCACCCAGGTTGTTGTTGTTGTTGCCTCCTGAAAAAGCACCTGTGGGACAACCATGACATGGATGACTGAGAATGACAAAAGGGGTGTCAAACTCACATTGTCATGGCGTAGTCACGTGACATATTGGGACTCCCCCCCCTTGTTAAACGGCATGGGTGTGGCCAGCCCTTGATGCATCCGGCCTGTGGGCCAGGAGTTTAACCCAAAGCTGATCTCTGAACCACTATAATGGTATGTAGGAAAGATGTTGGGAGACAGGAGGGAGAGATGTAGACTGGACAACTGGCATGTAAAAGTTAACCTACAGAAGGAGGGATGATGTGGAATACAACCCTCACTAGATTTATGAGAGAGGAGTAGGGAAGAAAGCCTTGCAAAATTCTGTTAATCTAACCTTATAATAAAGGTAGAGCTTGTACTCCTGGCTGTACTTCTCCTCTGACTACCTCATTAAGCTATACTATAAATGACTCTGAGCAAACTGTAATGACAGAAAACTCAATTCAAGTCATGCTATCATCTCCAACCCAAAGGAGGGGCATAAGTATAGAGATTGTTTCATCCTCCTTACATGGCAGAGACTAATAGAATTTGTCTTCCTAAGTCCCACATCACATCAATCTTGTGGGGTCCAAAGCCTAACTCATTGGATTATGCCAGATATTTCAACAGCCATATTAGTCCCTGATGTCTCCAAGGTAAAAGTCAGTTCTTCCTTCTGCCTTCAACCTAAAATCCAACTAGAAAAGAATTGGTCCAAACAGAACATCATTCAAGCCATCAACATCTGCTGAAAGACAATAGGGGAGCTTTGAATCTTAGACTGTCTCCTACAGTGGTGGGATCCAAATTTTTTTACTACCTGTTCTGTGGGCATAGCTTGGTGAGCGTGGCAGGGGAAGGATATTGCAAAATCCCATTCCCTCCCCACCCCACTAACCTGCTTTCTAGCTCTGTTCTCCTGTGCAGGGCAACAAAAGAAGACTCAGCCAATCAGCTGGGACTCGGGAGGCAGAGAATAGATGGGGGCAGGGCCAGTCAGAACCTGCTGAACACCACCTCTGGTCTCTTAGTTCCTTTTAATAGCATCATTTGGGTTGCAAAGCCTTTCCATTCATGGTCACCAGGAGCAACAAGGCCTGTATTCCTTTAAGAGACAGAAAATAAGCATGCTCTATGGGGAATTTTGTCCTCTTCCACTAGAAACCCAACCACCTCTGTCTCCTTTAACATCTGCAGGGCTGTCACATGGTCCTCCATGTTCTTCCATATTACTCTCCTCTGAAGTATCTTTCAACTAGAAGATACTACAGAAAATAGTTCTTAAGAAAAAGTAAAGTCTTTTCAGATGTAAGCCTATCTTTAAGGATAGCTTTGGAATGTCCACGGTCATTGCTATAAAAGATGTGCCTTCATGGAACTTCCAGTAAACCATTCATTCTGCACAGAATGAAAAAAAAGTGAATAACACAGAATGGGCTTGAGCCTGAGATTTTTCTCTCCATATCTCCCAGTTAGTCTAAATAGGTCTACTTTATAGGATGTGAGATCCCATATTAAAATAATCCAGTGTGTTCACAAGCTTGCATAATAATAGTATTAACATACTTAAATTGGAGATCCACTTTTCACTTTTATATCAGTGCAACTTAAAGGAAAGTTTTGAAGCATGAGCCACCTAAATTTGAAGATTCTGCTTGTTGAGCTGGGCAGTTACGGTACTTCTAAGTAATTGTTTGGAGCTCAGAGGATCTGTGTCCTATGCCTTCTGAAATTCAGCTTGTAAATCATAAAAATTAACACTGTACCGGTTATAATAATTTCTTCTTGTTTTTATTTCATAGAAATGGTGCTCAAAAAGGTGTCCCTGGTTTGATTTTCCCCAGAAAGTGAAAAGTGGACAAAATTGAGTTTGAGCATAGAACATTCAGTGTATATATACTGTCACAATCGTGTTTTCAAAATTGATAGCAAATCAACCTTTCAAGATGTTCTAATATTCCAAATATGCAGAGTCTTTCCAATTTGTTATGTACAAAGTCCAATTGATCTTTCTACTGCTAATCCTTTAAAGTCCAGATAATATCACAAATCTTCACTGAAAATAATTTTTCCAAAAATGTGTAGACATGTTTCCTCCCACACACATAGCATGCATTTCTGATGAATTAATTCATGTTACATGATATTTCAAAATAGCAGTTTTAGGCTGGGGTGTCTCTGTCTCTGTATGTCTGTGTGTATATAGAAACATTTCATATAGTAAACAGAGTGGTTGTTGGCTGACAGCACTAATTATTTTAGAATCCCTTGCAGTAATAGTAAAACGGGGAAACAGGTATCATATTCTTTACAAAATAATTATACATAGTAATTAATCAACAATTATTAGAGTGCACTGAACTAGATATTCAAAAATTTAGAGAAGCCTGAAGTATTGAATGTCAGTGGAAGTTTGGATTCTGGCATGTATGTACCATACTTGTATGGATTTAAAATTATTAAAGAGTATTTATAGGGTATTGTATATTTATGCAACTTGTACTAATGAAGGAGAATATTTGTAGCTCAGGGTTGACCTTGTATTAAGGAATTGATCTGGATAATTGTTGGAAATCAGATACATTGCAGCAAAGGTTTGAATGATGTGGTCTCATGCTGTAACGACTTTCTTTTGAACATACTCTTATTTCATATATAATATTAGCTTTATTTTGGAAGATGCACTGATTATTGAAGATGCTTGATTATGGACCAGAGATTTGGAAACCAGCAGGAAGACAGTAAAAATGGCTATTGCTTGCTTTTAAGATCTCACACAGACAGAAAAAAGGGATATCTGTTTTTGTTAGTTGGTCAGAAGACGTGATGCTTCTTTATTTAAGTAACCGTTTAACCCAGGGGTCTTCAAACTTGACAGATTTAAGATTTGTGGTCTTCAACTCCCAGAATTCCTCTTCCAGTCATGTTAGCTCAGGAATTCTGGGAGTTGAAGTCCACAAGTCTTAAACTTGCCAAGTTTGATGACCTTTGGTTTAACCCAAGAGCCCTATTAGAAAAACTGATGAGAACCATGGACTATGTATACTAGTTTATGGACTTAATTTTGCATTATTTCCTAATTAAGCAAACTAAAACATGTTAAATTGTAGAATACATCAAAAGCAAAGCATCTGCTCTAGGGATTATAGTACAAAGAATGTTGCATGCTATTTGCTTATGTCAGTTTCAACCTTTTTCATGGCAAATTGGGATTTTTTGGGGGGAAAAGTACTTTTTGGATATAGGTGATGTCATATAATATTTGGGTCTCCAATAGTATCTCTTACTAAAAAGGAACTAGACTGGTATTTTTAAACTGCATTCAAAAAGATGTTTCTTTGTTTTGTCTTTAGTAAGTGTCCTTTTCTTCCTCATCCTAACACAGATTTTAATTCCTTTTCCATCTCTTTTCCACCACTACTACCTCATATTTGTGGCTCTTAATTTTCTTCCCTTTCACTTCCTTTAAATCAGCATTTCTTAGCCTTAGTAACTCTCATACATCTTAGTAACTAAGATGTATGAGTCAAAAGTTGCTAAGGTTGAGAAAGAATGATTTAAATGACCTTGATTTCTTCATGTTTTGAAAGCAGTGGCTTTTGTGTGTATTAAGCTTTTCCTGTGGTTTTCTTGGTCATAACTGATTTAGATTATGTGGTTTAACTTCCATTTTCTCTTGTAGGAGTGGGTCACAGCTACAGATATCAGAGTAAGCCTCAATCGCCTGAATACCTTTGGAGACGAAGTATTTAATGACCCCAAGGTTCTCAAATCCTATTATTATGCAATTTCTGATTTTGCTGTGGGTGGCCGGTAAGTAATAAATCCCAAATAATTCTCTTTCTAATAGCTTAAATAATTGCTTGCTTAGGGCAGTCTTTCTCAAACTCTCATGCAGGATGGGGTTTTCTGAGAGTTAAAATCCACCCATCTTAAAATTGCTGAGGTTGAAAAACACTATTTTAGGGCTTTGGCATGATTTCAGCCTCTCTCTGAGACAGGTTTTTTTTAAACGCATGTTCATTAAAAAATTGTGATATAATAAAAATGTTAGTATAGCTTTACATTAATATATAACTGATCCAGAAATTATTTCTGTATCCATAAGGCGTCTTTGAATTTTATTCACACTAAATTTCATCTCAGTTTGGATGCTTATGAAAATACCGTATTTTTTTGGACTTTAAGATGCACCCCCCTCCCCTCCCAAAAAAGTGGGTGGAAATGTCTGTATGTCTTATAGAGCTAATGTTGTTGAAGCCCTGCCCACCTGCCAGCCCCCTCCCGCCAGCCTCTGCCTCCCAGCAATTTGCCTCGTTGCAGCAAACAGCAAACAACCTGGTCAGCTTCAGCACAGCCTGATTTAGCACAAGCAATTGAAGATTGATTGGAGATTGGATCTGCCTCCCAAAATACCGACGACCAGCTGTTCCAGGCAGCGGGGATTGCCGCCCATTGCTGCTGCTACCTATCGCTGCCCCATTTTTGGCCTCCGCACATCCCATTTCCCCCCTTGTTTCAGCACCAATGGGCAGTAGCGATCCCCACAGCCTGGAATAGCTGATCATCGGTATTCTGGGAGGCAGATCCAGCCGCCAATCAGTTGCTCGTGCTAAATCAGGCTGTGTTGAAGCTGACCAGGCTGTTTGCTGCAACAAGGCAAATTGCTGGGAGGCAGAGCCAGAGGCAGTTTTTGTTTTCTTGTTTTCTTCCCCAAAAGCTAGCTGTGTCTTACAGTTCGGAGCATCTTATAGTCTGAAAAATACAATAAATGTCTTGCTTTTAACTGTTGCATGCTGACCATGTTAAAATACAGTCACTGGTTTAAATACAGTAGCAATAGCAGTTAGCCTTATATACCGCTTTACAGCCCTTTCTAAGCAGTTTACAGAATCAGCCTGTTGCCCCCAACAATCTGGGCCCTCATTTTACCCACCTCAGAAGGATGGAAGGCTGAGTCAACCTTGAGCCTGGTGAGATTTGAACTGCCAAATTGTAGGCAGCCAGCAGAAGTAGCCTGCAGTACTGCACTCTAACCACTGTGCCACCGTGGTTCATCTGTCCTAATGTGACTAATATAATCATCACATAGAAGAAAAGTCTCTTATTACTTCACTCTGCTATTTTCCATTAATTACAATTCCTTCTCTATTTGCTGGCTCTGTTTGTTAGTGGAAAGTCTTCCTTAAAAAGTCTACTACTTTTCCAATAACATTATTCACAGCAACAACTTTCTTAAGCAATCTTGTAAGATAGGCCAATATCTATATCCTCAAATGGAGATGGGAGAAGGGGAGGTACATCCATTGATGAGATAAAAGTTGAGCTTCCCGGTCCACCATGCATTCCCATATGTTAGGGATGTGTATTGCTCCTAAAGGTAGTCATATATCTCTTCACTTTGAAGCTGCTTTACGGTGTCATCATGTTAATGCTTCCAAAAATGTTATGTGCTTGCCCTTCCTCCGTGTTTCAGCGTGAATAGGGAAAGGCATAGTCATGATCTGGTATGCTTGATAAATCGGCATTTCATATTGGCTTTCAATGGAATTTATGGCCCTCATTATGTCATCGTCCTTGCCTATAAAATGAAAATTGAATAATGTTCACTCCTAGAATCCTAGGCATAACAGATCAACTAAGTTCGTGAAGTACTTAGGCTGCTTCTAAAATGTTATTTAAATAATTCCGAAGTCAGTAAGCAAGAAATGGAGCTTAATATATTCAAACAGAGACATGTGAGACTAGATCTTAGACATTTAGTCAATGTATGTCTCTGAGTTGCAGCCAACTTCAACAGGTAGCCCTTATTTTTAAGGATGAAGTAAAAAAAATCAGCAAATTTGGCTAAAGATGTACATTGTATTCTGACGCAGAACTGGTAAAATTGGTCTTTTGTCTATCCCTCGGCTTGCTGGCAAGAAATCATCTGCAGTTGTAAAAGGAGGACAGGTGTGGTAATTTGGATCCAGATGGGAACTTTGGGAGACCAGTTTTGGCCATGGGACACTGTCAAGACTGATCAATGCATACTCTTGCTTGCAAAAACAGAAAAGCATGATTCCTCAAGCGCAGTGGAATTTTTAAAAACACTTTAAGACGACCACATTATTAAACCACATTTTTTTAACTGGAAATGTCAAAAGGTTTGGTATATTTTAAAGTAATTGCAGTCTTGACCAAAATTAAGCTTATCCCCTCAGTCCTTTTTATTAAGAAGCTTGCACTGTAGCAAGATCTCCTCTCTTCTGGTGGGAATATCCAGGTCTTGCAGTCTCTCTGATGATTCAGCCTTTGCATATGTGAGAAGACGAGACTGCTAGAGGAGAAACTGTATAGTTTTCCTAAAATCTGTTTCTGCCTTATAGATGCAAATGCAATGGCCATGCAAGCGAGTGTGTGAAGAATGAATATGGAAAGCTTGCTTGCCATTGCAAACACAATACCTTTGGGGTGGACTGTGAGAAATGCCTTCCTTTCTACAATGACCGGCCTTGGCGAAGAGCAACGGCTGAGAGTGCCAATGAATGTTTACGTAAGTGTATATTGGAGTTGTTTTTAAATAATCTGGTTTTATCTCAAGAAGCCAAATCTTTCTGCCAAAGTATTTCACCATTTCCTACTATCAAGGGGGCGGTAGCCAATTTTAAGGACCTTCAGTAAGTTTTCTTCCTTTTTCCTCTTGGTAAGTTGTAGCACTTCCTGTCCTGGCTACCATCCTGTATCAATGCAGAAGCATAGCATATTTTTAACTTTACCCCAGATGTCTTTGTTCATGTTATCTCTTGGTGTCTGATAAAAACGTCTTGGGAATTGCAGAAGGTTAGGCAATTTTCCTGTTGGTATCTCAAAACTACATCACATTAACCTACTGCTGGTTTGTTCTCTTTGATTATTTTTGGTAAATCTCACTGTTGTGAAATAAGTTCAGTTCTCGTTGATATAGTGTTGATTTAGTATGGACTTCTGGGCTCAACCAGTTATAATTGAGGCCACTGTTCAATGTGCCAAAATAAATAGATAAGATGACCCAGATTTTTTAATCTCGAGAATAGGGAAGTATTCAAATTAAGCCGATAAACAGCTGGTCCTCAAATTTGAATTATATTCTGTTGATGTTAGAAGTATCAAGATGCCATGAAATACATTTGAACCTTGTTTCTTAACTACTTGAAATTATATTTCAAAATCTCTGCAGCTTCTAAGGCTTCCATAGATATTATCTCCATCCAGGATGTCCACAGCGTAGGGAGTCAAAAGAGTCAGCATGGGAAATACAACTGTGTGATCAAAGTTCCGATTCTTTGTCAAACACAGCCTTTGATCACACAGTCAAACCCTCCATCTTAGCATTTATAACTCCTTCACAGATGCCCTTGTTCACATCCATGAACTTTCAAGACATCATAACTCTTTGATTGAAAAGTGACATGGTAATGGTTTTCTCAAAACTGGAAAAAGAAATTACATTGGTTTTTGGAATTCCTACAGAATTGTGTCAAACACACAATTAAAAACATATCTTTTTAAAAAAAGTATTATAGAAAATAAGTTAATTGAGAAATTGATTCTAATTCATACCTCACAAAGTGTTGATAAAAAGGTAAAATGTAGGGATTCGGTGTAAGATGCTGATTTTTTTTTAAAAAAAACCAATTGTTTGACAATTAACAGTTATTTACTAGAAAATTAGTTTACGGTCATAGGGTAGGTTGAGTGATTTGTGCATGTTAAAATTAACTCTAAAACCTACGATTTTCAGCATAACAAAAAAAGGTTCAGGTGACTGTTTTTTAATTAATCCGCCAAGCAACTAATATTAATATTCTTAGAGATTTGGTTGTATCATAAATAATTTTAGAGCAGACTTACAATAATTTGTTGTAAGTGTACAGCTAAGGAGTGACATAATGACACCTGAACATCTGGAGTTTTTTTCCCCTCCTTTGCTGGTACTTTGCTTGTGTGGAGTGACCATTCAAAGTTACAATAACACTGAAAAAGTGACTTATTACCATTTTTCACACTTACGACTGTTGCAGCATTCCCCACAGTCATGAGAGGCCAGGCGAGGAGATGCGTGCCTCAATGTGAGTGATATTAAGTTGGCCACACCCAGCCAATAACATGACCACCAAGCCATGACCACCCAGTCACATGACCACCAGGCCACACCCACCAACAAAGCCACGCCTACAGAACCAGTTGTTAAAAATTTGAATTCCCACCCCTGAAATGAACCCAGAATTTCGGCTGTTAAGCAAGGCAGTTGGTTAAGTGAGTTTTGCCCTACTTTACAACCTTTGTTGCGTTCCCATTGACTTTGCTTGTCAGAAACTGGCTGGGAAGGTTACAAATGGTGACCCCATGACCCCAGGATAGTACAACTGTCATAAATACATGCCAGTTGCCAAGCTCTTGAATTTTGATGTAAAAAAAGTATCATGTTACTTTTTTCAGTGCTCATGTAATTTTGAACTGTCGTTAAACGAATAGTTGTAAGTTAAGGCATTCGCCCTGATCCAGATTTTCATTTGCAGTTGCAAGATGCCCACCATTGGAGCTTTTTGTCACTCATTTGCCAAACACAGGCTGGAAAGTAGGGAATGGGTCCCGGAAAGAATTAAGAAAACATTTGAAGCTCCAAAAAAAAAAAAAATGCTGCTTCAGGATTCTGTCTTGCTTAAAAATCTGTATAAATATAATGCACAACTAATTTTCAATGGAAGTCTTTTAAGATAAGTTGCATTGTTAGGCTAAATCTTTTTAGTAACAAATCGTCGTATCAGGACTTTGGACAGCCTCTGATCTAGAGCAATGAGTAATGGGCAGGCATCCTCCTGAGAATTATAGAATGATCCAGGTAATTTTCTCTGCCCAACCAGACATGGAATGAGTTAGTGCCGTAGCTTCTAGCCTAGAATGCCAGTGTTTATCCATGGCATGCTTGGTATGCTGCAATTGCACACCCATTGATTATGAGTTGAAATTACTCTCCACTCTGAAGTAGGTAAACTCCAGAATAGCTTAGTTTTTGAAAATACAGCATACTTTTTTCTTGTTAGCGCACTCTAATCCACAGGTTTAAAAATTCAATAGTAAAGCTTGGAGAAATTAAAAATAAAATAAAATTCAGAATGTTATCTTCCCAGCTTTCATTCCAGTGGTCCATGTAAATCTGTGACTTCAGCTGACAACGAAATAAAGCCAATGGTTAATGGCCCTTGTTCTGCTTCACATCCTAGACATGAGTATTTACATCTGTCTATACTAAAGAAAGCAGAAGTACATATGTATGCATTTTCTCACAGGATGCAGCTGGGGGGAGTCTGGTCTCCTTGTTATCTTTCCCTGAAGTTTGCATGCCAGAGAGCAGAGTAACTGTGTGGGAGGGCTGTGGGAAGGGTAGAAACTGCAGCACAGCTGGGAAGACAGCTTGGTGGAATCTCCAGGGCAAAAGCAACATCTCCCAAGCCCAACCTTCAGTCTGTGTGCCAGTCACTTTGTAGCGGGCAATCAAGTCAACCATGTCAAGTGGAAACAGCGCAGTTGCACCATAACACTGATTACAGAATATTACACACATACACCCTTGGGTAGTTTTATTCCTTGCCTACTTAGCTGGGAAGAAGAGACCATCTCTAAAAGTAGTGGATTGGCAGCCTAAACTCATTCTCTTTGGCCATGGTTTTAGTCCGTATTCCCAATTATACAGATGTACAAATCGATCACATAGGCCGTTTTCTGGTAGTAAGCCAAGGTTTAGCAAAGAATGCATGCATGAGAGGCGATCCGAGTTCCCCAATGAAGCATCTTCAGTACAGATTCCCGTATCTTGATTTGCACTCAAGATTTAGGAGAAATTAACTTGAGTTATGAAAGAAAAGGCCCTACTTAAATGTTTGTTTTTCATACTAGGAGGGTGTAGCAGGGAATCCAATCATCCTGGCCCCTTCTGTGTTTGCTTAATTCAAAGTAGTGTAACCAGAGGCCATTCTGGCTGTGAATGAATGGGAAATAGATTATGAGAATTTAAGTCCAGCACATCTGTATGTTGGGAACGTTTGACATAGTTTTTTTTTTCTTTCTCATTCAAAACCAATTTAAGGTCTTCTGCTGTAATCAGAGCTTCAGCTTTCTAATCCAGGAGCTTCACTGATACTCTCTGACTGTGGTACTTGTGGTATCCCTGGGAAGTAGAAAAAGAGAAACCACAGTAATGTTGTTTTATTCTTTATTTTTCTTTTCTTTTTTTTAAAGCAGCCTAAATCTAAAGGGGAGTGAAAGTAGTGATTCATTTTTTCAACATGATAAAAATAGAATTTTCATTGAGGAAAAAAAATATTCTGACACCATAAATAGGTAGGAATAATTTGATTGTCCAACCTCTGCCTGACATTTTTTTTTAATTGCTGGGCCTTTCTAATTACCTGAACTGAGCAACTTATTTCATAAGAGAACTTGAGTTCCCAGGTCATATTAATTGTCAGCAGTATTGTAGTGGTAAGCATTGGAAAAGCGTTTTAACCTCTCCCCCCACTTGACAGCCTTTTAAACTAACCTGGTTTTGCACTCTCCGACATACAGGCTGTAATTGCAATGGACGGTCACAGGAGTGTTACTTTGATTCAGAACTGTACCGATCCACCGGCCATGGTGGACACTGCACAGGCTGTTTTGGTAACACTGGTGGACCAAACTGTGAAAGGTGTCGGGAGAACTTCTACCGCCTGGGCAGTGAGGAGAGCTGCCTGCCATGTAACTGCAGTCCTGTGGGTAAGTGTTAAGGAGACTGCTTTTCTGCATGTTCGCTTTTTCTCTGATAATGTTTTCCGTAATATTGAAATGAGGGGTTTTGTAGCATACTTCCGGGTTTACAAGTACTGGGTATATATGAAAAACAAATTGTATTAAATCATAATGTATGTGATTGGAGCTCTCAGCAAAATTACATTAAAGTGGAAAGCAAGGTGCTCTGGCCAGAACAGGAAGTATATGGAAACAGTATCTGTATGTTGTAAAACTACACTACACAGGTCTAAATTTAGGGCTTAGTATAGGATCTCAGTTAGAGATGGATAACTTTGGATGGTTAGAGGTCACATATTTTTACCCGGCAGCCAAAGGCTACATTGAACTCAACATTAATGCAAACTAGTCAAGACAATATTAGGCCCGCTAGGGGTAGGGGTAGGGCGTATTGTTATTTTAGAACAATTTAAAGCTTATGTGAGGGATTTTGGTGGTGTTTTCTAATTCAAACTGGGTGAGAAAAACATTGGCCAAATTTTGCTAATTGAGAGAGCTGAAAGCCCTACAGATAGTCCTCGCTTTAACAACCTTAATTGGGACCCTCAGTTCTGTTGCTAAGGAAAGCAGCCACGAAGCAAAATATCACGCAACCATCCCAGTTAGTGATGGTAGTTGTTTTGTTAAGCAAGGGCATCATGTCACCATGACTTACAAATTCCCGCTGGCTTCCACATCGATTGTGCTTGCTGGAATCTGATTAGGAAGGTTACCAATGACGATTATGGCTCTATGGGACATTGCAGCGATTATTAGCATGCAATTGCCAAAGGTCCAAATAGCAATCATGTGATCATGGAGATGCTGTGAAAGTCATAAAAGCAAGGATTAATTGTATGTTACTTTTTTCAGTGCCAGTGTAACTTCAAAGAGTGCTAAACAAAGGGTCATTGTTTTGGAGGATGAATGATCTTTTGGGCTTCAGCTGACCATGTGTGTCCTCAGTTTCTATCTTAATTGCACAATAAGCATGATGTTCAGAAGTTTGCATTTGGGGGACATTAATATGGGATCTAGATATATAACTGAAAGCTTCAAATAAGTTATACATACCCTCAATCAAGACGCTATCCAATTTTTAGGTTTAAAAATTCACAATATCAAGCTGAGAGCTCCAAATACGGACCGATGCAAATTGTTTTGGTTTCATTTCAAGTATAAATAGTGCAGCATCAGGATAGAGTGGTACCGGTATACAGTAGAACCTCTGGTCATGACCATAATTCCTTCCATAACTTTGGTCTCAACCTGATTTGGTCGTGACCCGAGCCTAATTTTGGAAATTTGGCGCTTACAAAAAAAAGGCGCTTACAAAAAAAATGGTGCAGAAGGGGAAATTGGCCGGGGGGGGGGAATTGTGAATTTGGTCATAGTCGTGGTCAGAAGTGCTCGTGACTAGAGGTTCTACTGTATCATGTTTTATCATGCATTCAAGAATAATTTACAAACCTCAATGAAACCCTTTAATAAATTTCATGCCACACAGGCAATCAATATGTATGTAATCTGTGTGTTGATTTAAGATAATACTTTGATCTTGACTCAAGATAATGTTTTGTCTGAGTAATTATTTCTAAATAATTATAGACTAGAAAGAAGAATGTGGATTATATACGCTAAAGGCTTCACTAAGCTAAACAATTCCCTCTTGTTTAAACTTTGGGGGTTGATTCTGTTTGAAAAAAATTACCTAAAGGTGAATTAAAGACATCTTTGAAGGTCAGGAGTTACCATATTTTTCGGACTATAAGAAGCACTTGCCCAGAGGTTCGAAAATATTGGCTTAAAATCAAAGATTGGCTACAGGAAATCAGCAACGAGCAACTAGATCTAGAACCAGAACTCTTCCTATTGGGGTTCTTAAAAAATATATATAGTTGGTATTTCGGGTGTCCGATCCATGCTGCTCATGTTAAATCAGGCTGTGCTGAAGCTGACCAGGCTGCTTGCTGCAAGGAGGCAAATTGTTGGGGGGGGGCAAAGGCAGACTTGTTTTCCTCCCAAAAATCTAGGTGCGTCTTATAGTCCAGAGTGTCTTATAGTCTGAAACATTCAGTAGTTGTCCTAGTTAACACTCTCAAGAAAAGTTGAGATGGCAATTCCCATACTTTCAATACAGCAATAATTTCAGCTATATTGATTAGGAATCCTAGTGTTCTAAGAATGTCAATGATGGAGGGCTGTAAAGTATTGATATTTTCTGTACCTAAAAAGCAAAATGAACAGTTGAATGCATTCTACTTGGAGATATATTTGCATTGTAAATTAGCTTAAAGAGTAAAAATAATTAACTTTGGCTTAAGTACTGAACAATAGGAAATAAGAGAACTCATGCTATTTTAGATATAGGGAAGAGACCATAGCTTCTTTATTGAATTCAGTTGTCTAGAAATTCTATCTATGGTCTACTGAATCAATTTCAGAAATTGGCATCTTTTAGAGAAAGTATCTCTCTTTGTAAAAGATTTGAAGGACTGTGGCTCAGATGTAGTGAAATGAATTCTAAATAGAAGACTCACAGTTGACATCACTCCTGGGCTTCAGGAGAAAAAAAAATGCAAGCCCTGATTGAAAAAAATATATGGAACCACTGAGGCCGTGCAACATTAAATCTCCTAATGAATATACCTTGTGTGGAAGAAAGAAAAACAGCAGGAAAAAAAGTTAAACTAAAATGATTCTACTTAGCATTTAGTTTTGTCTATACAAACATTTTATTATACATTATTTTATCTCATTTTGTTTCATTGATTAATTGCTATGGGAAAGCCAGAGTTGAACCCTTGCTGTCCATTTGAAATTGTGCAGTCTAGATCAGAGTTAACTGTTCCAATGAAAGTACTTTTGTAAAATCAATCTGAATTATTTTGAAAGCTAAACAATACAGGAGTATAAAGATGGTTTTAAACATTATTAAATGGTGCTGTTTTCTAAAATGCATTACATTAACCAAATGTTTTCTAGACTATACCAGAGATATTGTACTCTGACTACTTCATATTACTAGTGGTAATGGCCATGTTTTGTGGAAATTGAGGAAATTATTCAACAATATTACTGTATTCTTACAAAATTATAAAAAGACAAAGTGAAATTTACCCTTTTTTGTTTGTTGTCAGATTTACTAGTGTCAAATATTGAGATACTAAATCCATATTTTTTTAGATCAGTGTTCAGTGTGAGAAATTGCATTGACTGAAGAATTAATGTAATACCAAAGACTTTTGATTATTTGTATGTAGTGCTGTCTTTAAATATATAGACTCCATTTTTTTAGCTTTAAATGGAACATTGACATCTACTTACACAGACTGGGAATAGAACTTTTGAATATAGATGTTTAACATGTTTTCTTTTCTATTTAAGGTTGCATATATAATGAGAATATTGTACTCCCATATTTAATTTTTTCTTCCCTTCCTCATTTTTTCCAGGTAAAAATATTTTTGAAATGAAGTTATTATTTAAAAATAACTGTGACAGAAAAAGCTTCTCCTTTTTAAATTTAGCAAAAGGAATTATTAAGAGAAAACTAGAAGTGGATTTTTGTGGGAAAGGACTTCTAAGTGTACTTCTTGCACTCATTTAAAATACTTGAGCTAAATATATACTCTATTTAAGTATCTAAATTTTAAAAGTTTACCCATTTGCAATAAAACTTTATACCTGATTTCAGCTTGTGGTCCTTAGCATTTCAATAAAAAAAAAACAATATAAAAGGGAAATCCAAAGTGTACAAGGCTTCCGAGGGTGGTATTCAAATTTTTTTACTACCAGTGGGCCTGGCTTGGTGGGCGTGGCAGGGGAAGGATACTGTAAAATCTCCGGTCAGAGGTGGTATTTGCTGGTTCTCTGAACTACTCAAAATTTCTGCTACCGGTTCTCCAGAACTGGTCAGAACCTGCTGAATACCACCTCTGAATGCTTCTCTAGAACTTTGAAGAGGAATAAATCACTATGAGGGAGTACTTTAACCTTATTTTGTTTCCACAGGCTCCCTCAGCACACAGTGTGACAATTATGGACGCTGCAGTTGTAAACTTGGTGTGATGGGTGACAAGTGTGATAGGTGTCAGCCTGGCTTCCATTCTCTTACAGAGGCAGGATGCAGGTAAAAGTGACCTGGTCGTATAAGTAAAGGTGAAGATGGGAAGACTTGTGTCTGGATGTATGCAAAATATTCTATCAGAAGATCAAACAATCCATATTAGAACATTGCCATATTTCTGCTTCCTTCATTCTTCCCAGTGTTCCAACTAGATTATTTTCTTCTTGTTCAGGCGCTGCTCCTGCAATCCAGCTGGCAGCACAGATGAGTGCAATGTGGAAACAGGGCGTTGCACTTGTAAGGATAATGTGGAAGGGTTCAACTGTGAAAGGTAAAACAATGTCTAGTATGTGAAATCAAGGGCTGAATTGATTGTGTTCTTGTATCCTCCTTGCAAGGAATTCAGGGCAACCTCCATGCAGATTATTCAGATGTTTTTGTTCGCAAATCCTGAGGTTGATCAAGCTAAGTCTTAGCTGGATAGATCTACCTGAATACATCTAAAATAAAGATCCTCATCAACTCTTGTTCCAGATTGTGGAAGAGGAAAATTTTGAATTGGGATTATTTTGGCTACTTGGAAATTTACTGTTATTGGGGAAGCCACTGTTGATAGATGTGTCATCTTCCAACCTGTCTGCCTAGATTTTTGCTACCCAACTTGCAGAAGTGCAGCCCATTCAGAACCATTATTCTGCTTGCTGTTTCTGAAAAAAAAAAGACTTTTGTAGCAGTAGCATTTGGTATAGAAAATATTGGCATTGCCATAATATGATAATACTGTTGTAGAAAACATGGGAGTGGATTTAATTGACTGTGACAGATTCAGGTCATTAAACATTTCAGCATATCTGTAGAAATTCTTTCCTTCGATGCACAGATATAGTCAAAGCTCTGATATGTTCGCTATAGGTAAATCTCTATAATCCAAGCTTCTTTTGCTTAGTGCTCAGAATGTCAGTGTAAATTCTGCCTTCTTTTATTTTCATCTCAAGCATTTTCTGAGGTTGCTGGTTGTGATTTTAAATGAAGGGAAATGTGATAACATTTTAGCATGAAGTTCTATTATGGCTGTGTATAATCTATATATATAAAAGCAAAATACCACTCACACATCATCACAAAATCTCCAGAACCGTAAAGCCTACAAACTTGGAATTTGGAACATATGTTCATCTTTCTTATGTTCACTAAGAAAGGATTTTTCAAAATGACAATCAGAGCATTAGTATTTCGTATATTATTATTAACACGCTCTGATGCTAAGGAGTCCTACTCCCTCTCCCCACCTGTTCCAAATCTGTTCCAAATGCAAGCAGAGGAGAAGAATTTCAGTTTCAGTTTTAGTTTCACAGAACCAAGCAGCTTTAATATAGAACAGTTGAACTAAGCCACGCCCAGGCTCCTTGCTGTCTCCTTGTTTGCACCACAAATACTGTTTCACTTTCCAAACAGCCTTCAACTCTCTCTCTCACTGACAGGTTGCTAGCCAGATGAATACCGATGGATGCTGGTAGGCAGAGGCAGAATTTTTTCCCCTTATTTTCCTCCCCTAAAACTAAGCCTGACCACATAGATTCGTAGTGAAGCAATGGTATTGAGCTAGTGTATTATAGATAAGGCTTTTAGTCCAGCTTAAAATCTTTCCTTAATATATGAATACAGAAAGAAGAAAAGACAGATTTTGAATTTCAGTGTTTTCTTTTACTTTTAGATGTAAACCTGGATTTTTTAATCTGGATTCTGACAATCCCAGGGGATGCATTCCCTGTTTCTGTTTTGGACATTCCTCTGTTTGTACCAATGCAATCGGATACAGTACCTCCAAAATTACCTCCACCTTCCAAACAGGTAAATTTAAACTTCAGATTTTCTTGGATTAGATTATCATGCCATATAAGCTACAATGCTTTGAACACATTCATAGCTTATTTTCTTTTGAGCAGAAACATTGGTACATTCACAATATAACATGATATAAGGGACTTTGTGTTCCAGTAATAAAAATCAAAACTTGAAATCAATAAAATAAAATAGGGCAAATTAACTTGCCTATGCTAACTTTCAATAAAATCAATTTGTTAAGCCATTAGAAGAATGAAACATGTAATTATGCCATAACAAGCTATAATCTTTTAAGTAGGTGTTATATAATCAATGGAATTGTACAATTTCTAACCTTCAACTTCAGTTGCTTCATAGCTTGACTCAGAGTTGCCTGGTGTGTGTCCGAGAACAAGCTTTTTTAAAAAAACTTTGCAATTCTAGATTTTTTTTAATCAAAGCATAGCAAGTTCTGTCATTGTTTTTCAGTTATTCAGTTGCTTCCAACTCTTAATTATCCAATGGGTATCAGTTCATCAGGACTGTTAGCAATTCTTGTTTGAATTCTCCAAAGCCTGTGTTTATGTAACACTCTTGCCATATTTTCTAATTGCCTTTCATATTTCCAAGCATTGGGATCTTATCCAGGGCCTTTTGTTTTCAAATATTTCCAAACTATTTAAACTTAGCTTTATTATTCTTTTTTTAGTGAGCAGTCTAGTTTTACTTCCACTAATATTGAGTAATTTGTTCTTTTTGCAATCCACGGAATTCTCAAAATTTTTCTCCAGACCAATGATCCAGTTCAGGAGCATCTGTTTTTCTTCATTCTGCCTTCACCTTTGACAGCCATGGTTACAACTAGGGAAACCATAGCCTTGACAATATTTACCTTTGTTGCCAGTGTGATATCTTTGCACTTTAACCCTACGTTGCCTAGTTCTATCAAAGCCTTTTTCTGAAAGCCCTTGTCTTTCTTTCATAGTTACAGTCACCCTTCCTACGAAATTCTGAGCCTATGAAGTTCAGATCTGCTTATTACTTCAGCTTCTTTTTTGCCTATTTCCATTTGATTAGCATTGCCATTAACATCATCTGAAGGGGGTTTTTGTGTGTATTTTCATTTTAAATTGAGCAGCAGACTAGTTTTGTGTTTTCTTATTTCTTCTTCAGCAAGTGTTTACTTGGGTCTCCTCATTTTCAGCTATTAAAAGGATAGATTGATGTTTCTCCAAGCAATTTTAATTCTGTTGTCTTTTTCTTCTAATCAAATATTTCTCATGATCTCTGTACAAGTTAAATAAGATTGACAATCTGCAACCTTGGCACACTCTTTTGTCAACGTTGAACTCTTCAATCATTCCATATTTCATTCTAATGATTCCTTTCTGGTCAAGGAACCAATTCTTCAATAGCAGATGAGGTGGGCTGCTATCGCCTGAACCATCCCTAATTTGTTGTGATTTATATAGTCAACAGCCTTAATGTAATTAGGAAAGCATCTTAATACATATTTTTAAAACTCTTTTGTCCTTTTCATCATCCTTCACATGTCAAAATGTGATCTTGACTGCCTCTGCTTCCATTAAACCCATCTTATCCATGTGACAATTTTCATTTTACAAAAGGTTGAAGTCTGGGCTGCATTTTGAGTATGTGAGATTGTTGGGAACATTCTTTAGTAGTGCCCTTTTATTTTTAGAATATAAATTTTATCTTTTCCAGCTGCACGGTCACTTGTAGAATTTTCCATATCTGCTTATAAACTAGTATAATTTTGTCAGATTTTAAACATTCTACTGGTATTTTGTCACCTTCTGAAACTTCACTTTCCAGAATGTCAGTGTTCAAACCTTTGTTATATAGCATCATTTGGAGGATCTTTTTATGCAGTTCTTTACATAGCTCTTCTACTGTCTCATCTCACTTTGTTTCTTTCACGTAATAGCAAAGTTCTTTATGTTTTGTAGACAGTGGTATCCAAAGAAAGAGCCAATTTGATATAGTGGTTAAAATATCAGACTAGAAATTGTAAGACCAGCTCTAGTCCTGCCTCACACCTTGCGGAGATAAATATTTCTTCAAGTAGTAACGAGAAAATCAAATAACTTAAATTATTTTCAGAATTCCAATCTCTTCTTTTCAAAGAAAATTGATACACTGAATAGCAGCTTGTGAAGAATGATTAGAGAGGAAGAAATTGCAGGTCTGTGCAGACTGAAGAGAGACAGTTTGGTGTAGTGGCTAAGATATCAGGGTAGAAACTGGGATGTTGTGAGTTCTGCTCTCTCTCACTTCTACAAGGAGGCATTGGCAAACTATTTTTGAAATCCTGCCAAGAAAACTGCAGGGATTTTTCCCGACAGTGCCCAGGAGTAAGAGTGACTTGAAGGCACACAAGCATATGGACATATTCATGTAACATCGGGTGTATTTCTTTATATTGTCCATTGTAAGTACTGAATAGGGGAAAGCGTATGATTAGTTGATATTTTGATGGGGTCTCCCAGAAAACAAATTATTATTTTAGTCCTTACCCATTAGGCTTGCATTCTTCATTCCACTCAGCATTATATTCTGCTAAATTAGGCAATTTTATTATAGAGTCAGCCGCCTTTGAAAATATTAAATAGTTCTCCTCTGAGACTATATTGTGGCCTTGAGGTCACAAGCACCTTGGCTTTACAGTTGTTGCAGGTTTATCATGTGAAAATTTGTTCAGACATTGTGATAACCATCCATTACAACAGAGGTTTTTAACTTTTTTTTTGGCCATAGAAGCTGTCAGTTTAAAAATACTCCTGGAACCCTTGATCAAGAAGCAAATTCTAATTAATGAAAATCATATTTATTTCTTTATTTTGCTCTTCATTTAGCCCTAGGGTTACATGAATCACAGTTTGAAAAATTATGTATTAAGCCACCTACCTCTCTCACAAACTATTCCAGGCTACACAAACAGATAAAACAAACCCAAATGGGATATGTTTGCCATGTCAGGCTCTATTTTGAGCTGTTGCTCCCAGATTAGCCTAGAATTGGTTTTTGGCTTGTGAGTTTTGCTATCTGGTAAAACTTTTGATTTCGGAGTGGTTTATCTGCTGTAGGTAAGAAGCAAAGTAAGAGAAGATGGACTGCATGAATTAATATGCTGAACATGTGTAACTAATAAGGATAAGCCAATAGTTCTGCTCATGATAACTTGCAAATGATGTGACTGGAAAAGAGTAGAAAAATAAAAATTGTAGCTACTTCATTGTACATATATAAAACTGGTTGATCAAATGATCAATAAAAGTCCATTGACTAGAAAAGTTGATATTTTCTTCTCACTGCTACTTTGTGAGCAGAGTTAATCTCAACATTTGTGAAGGAGGCCAAGTACCAGATGGCTGAATTAGGCCTATTCTGTTCCAGTTTACATTTAATAACGCAAAACCTTCTCAGTTTTTTATTTATTTATTCATTCATTTATCGGATTTAGAGACCACCCATCTCACTCAAAGAGCAACTCTGGGCAAGTCTCTAAATCTGATAAATAAACTCTTGTGGCTAAGATCAAGTCTACAATCTATTCTTATCAGTTTAATAGCACACACAGTGGCAATTTATATAATCCCTGAAGCAGGATTTTCTCCCTATATGGTTTGTGTAACAGTTTTCTTAAATCACGACAGACTGTTTTCAATCAGTGTTGAAATCTGTTTCCTTTTCATGATAGAATTCACAAAGCAAGTAGATACTCTATTTATTTCTTTATGTATTAAGTAGAGTGAATTCAACTTTTAACATAAGATGGTTTCTTCTTGTGGCTTTCAGGAAAGGAAAACTGGCATGCAGAACAGAGAGATGGCTCTGAAATCTCCATTCGCTGGATACCTGAGACTCAAGAAATATCTGTAATCTCAGATACACCTTTTCCCATCTACTTCAGCACCCCAGGTACAAAGCAAGAATGATTATTTATACATAGATTATATAAGCATGTTTGCCAATAAACCTTCTACCTTTTACCTATCCTTGAATGTGGATTTTGTTGCTTTTGTTTCAGGCAAATTCCTTGGAAATCAAATTCTAAGTTATGGACAAAACCTATCATTCTCTTTTCGGGTCGATAAGCGAGACACTCGCCTTTCTGCTGAGGACATAATCCTTGAAGGTGCTGGACTAAGAGTATCTGTACCTTTGATTGCTCAAGGCAACTCCTATCCCAGCGAGGACACCCTGAAATATTCATTCAGGTAAAGGGGTTTGTATTTTCTAATCTGGAAAATGTCAGGATTGCCTGGAGGTAAAGATTCTGGTTAAAGCTCTTCATTTGCACAGCTTAAAATATTAGAACAAATTACTATAAATGGAATGTTTCTTTACCTTAGATTGTAAATAAATAGTGTGAAATGAACACTTTTGATACGTACTTGGAGAATTAGAAATTACTAAGTTTTGTTATTTTGGGGAAAAAACTAAATTGTATTTTTTTAACTACATTTTTAAGGGATACAGCTCTGTTTGGAAGCATCAACTTTTGCTCTGTGAATGAATAAATAAAAAGTAATAATGTGGCAGACTACATTATACTGAAATACTTATTTTATACTCGAGAGGGCAACTTGTAATGCTTTTATGGTGGATTTAATGGTTATGTAATATTTTATTTTTAATAATACTTGGGGCAGAACACCCTCACCTCATCAATTAATTATCTACAGCAGGGGGTGGAGAGGGCTACAACCCAGCCAAAACTAAGCACTTTGCAACCTCATTAACTTTAATGGAGGAGAAATAATATTTGTTATTACTTTTCTGGTTTTAAAGCCATGTAGCTCTAAGCATTTAACTATTACTGAGTTCCCAGCTGAACGTTCTATTAAAATCTTAAGTTCAGTAAGTCAACATTTCTTTTTAAGTTGATTGAAGCTTCCAACCTGTAAAGCCCTTGCCTTTCTTACATGTTACAGTCACCATTCCTATCTCTGCCACCCCTCTTATGGTCCCCCGTTCTTAATTTCCTCTCCAAAAGGTCCTGGGGAACAGGTGAGGAGTAAGTGATACTCTGTACCATGCAGAAGTCTTGTTCAAACTTGAATGTACCTTCTCTCTGTTTCCTCACCATCAGAGAAGGGAAAGTTTTTTAGTTAATGGTTTAGGACAGGGGTGTCAAACTCGCGTCGTCACGTCATGTGACATATTGTGACTTTTCAACCCCTTTGCTAAACTGGGCATGGGCGTGGCCAGTGTGTGATGCATCCAGCTCGTAGGCCACAGGTTTGACAGCCCTGGCTTAGAATGTGAAGCAAAGTACCCCTGCCCATACCAAGAATATATCTATAGCCTACAATAGGGTTGTATGACCATGTTGTTGGGTAAGTGATGGGTCCTCTGTTCAGGTGACTAACTAGCAGTGGCTGTTTTCTATGCTTTAACTTGGGTTAGTCTGACGTGCAAATGCAGGGAGTGATTGGGAAGTTGTGAATATGCCTATTTATTTGTCCAAGGACAGCGGAAGAAACAAGACAAATGCATATGGACTTTTATTTTATTGGACACTAGCAGAAGAGAGAAATGCTGCTACCCAATAATATCAGACAAATCTTATTTAAAAGCAACATGTCCACCAGTCAAGTTAATTCTTTGGCATTTAAAACTGTTTCAATGCTACCTCCCTTTAGGCTCCATGAAGCAACAGATTACCCCTGGAGGCCTTCTCTCACTCCCTTTGAATTCCAAAAGTTGCTCCATAATTTAACAGCTATCAAGATTCGTGGGACCTACAGTGAAAGGAGTAAGTTGGTGGTAATTGCTGATCAAACTGAATGAATGTCAAGAAATACCTTTCTTTTCAGTTGCACCTACCTTACAGAATTCTTGGGATGTTTGTAGTGTTTCTTCCAATGTTTTTTAGCATGGCAAAACAATTTTGTTCAAACAAGTCTTTGCTTTAATCAGAAAGATGGATCTTGATTAGTCTGTTTTATGTTCCATGCCTGTTTCTTTTCTTTTAAAAAAAATATTGTAGTGTTAACTATTTTACTGCATAAATGGTGGCCCCACTCATTTATGGTACGATTTTCAACACACAAAGCCCAAAGGGGTCATTAGGGGTCATCCCTATTTTAGAGCATTCCTTGATTATTTTTATAATCCTTCTACCCATTTCATAAAATTGGTCGTAGTAATATCTCCCCATTGAAAATTTGGGGTATTAGAATTCTTCCCTTTTTCCTTATGATGCCATCCCTGAAAGTTTGCAATTTGAACGAGCTCAACATACACACTAGCTTGCCATCTACACTCAAAATGCAAAACTTAACCAGGGCTTCTTAAATTAGGATGATGAAGTTGCCAAAAATATAGCACATACACAATACTTGCATTAAAAGGGTCCTCATATCTAAGGAGGAAATGACTTCACTCAAGGGGAAAAAAATACAGAGAGATCCCGATACAGTTTACATTCTTCTCTTGTTAACGTGCAGCATCACCTAGGGCTGTGGCTGGAACTACCACCCCATATATATATATAAACAACTTTACACCAGCAGCTAGCACCATAGAAGTTGTGGTGTACGTGAGGCAGAGCTGTTCTTCAAGCTGTTCTGAGGCAGCCGTTAGAAGGGCAAGCCCAGTTTTGAAGAGGAATCCCAGTGCTGGTTGGGTTGAAAGCTAAGAGGGAAGGGGGAAGGAAATGCTCTTTTCTCTAGAATGCCTGGTTCTGCTGAACTCCCTCAAAGTGAAACATTAATTCAGCGTCCCGAAATACCAATCCATCTGTCGATCTGCAAAGGTGGGAGTTGTTCCAGTTTTTTTTCCCTGAGGATATACGCAGAAGTGTGTGTAAATAAGTTTCTTGCATTCCTTACCCACCCATGCTTTTACAGGGAGAATGTTTGGCTGGTTGCCACATCTGTGCTTCTCAGCCTTTACTGTACAAAGGCAAGACATCTGTCCACAGTGGTATCTTGACATTGTGGGTAGGCCCTGATCTTAAAGTAATATTGACTCCTTGAAAAACCTTGCTTACAAAATAGGAACCAGATAAATAATTTGATTATGGGTTGGCAAAACGTTGTAATCCTTGGTTTTTACTGTATGCCGCCCAGAGTCACTTCAGGTGAAATGGCCAGCTTCTGTCAAATAAAAGGAAATGTGCCCTATGGCCTTAACTATAATAACTCTCTTTCCTTTCTAATTATAATTAAAATGTGATTTTAAAAAGTAAGAATAGAATCTTCCAAAAATCTTCGATTTAAAACTATTGAGGTGGATTGATAAGTCTTGATTGATTATGAGGGGAGCCAGCGTCATAATTTCCCTTTGTTGCTATCTAAGATAAAACCATGATTAAGGCAAAGGAAGGACTACTCCAGTAAGTAAAGGAAGATGGCCAGGGCCATCTTCTTTAGCCTGGCTCCAGGCCAAGAAGTAATTATAACATGTGATTCATTTGTTAGAAAATAACCTTTGCCTGAGTATTAATGATCAAACATTAATGAGCTCACAAAATGTCTTGGATGGAAGTATACCATTGTGTTGAAAGGGGACTAAGGGAATCTCCGCAAAACCTTTTTCTAAATCAAGAGACTTCGACATGGTTACCATGCTGAAGCAGCACATTAAAGTAACATACTTGGCAGAGTCAAGCATGACCTATAAATCCAATGTTTTAACAATCAAAAAGACCCCCAATTATTTTTTTTATATTTTGCCATACAACATTTTGGTCAGTGCAGAGGATACATTTTGATACGAAATCCAGTCATCTCTAATTCTGACACAAAGAACAAAGCAGCCAAATTATTAGGAACGCACAATTATTCCTCGGGGTCTTGGAAGCGAGTATTGTTTGATGCTGGGTAAATTTACACGATGCTTTAAATTATGATGACAGGGATGTTGTTCTATAATTGTATTTTATTGTGTGTGTGCACATGTGCGTGTTTAAATGCTGTGGTTATGTGGTTAAGATTATAAATCACTGGGGAAATCCTGGATTCTAGAGCCATAGAAATGAGATATACCATATATCTCATAGAAATGAGATATAACAACCAATTGGGGACTTATGTCAAGTCGAAACCCACAAGACAGAGTCTCTGCTCCCCTCCCAAATATAAATTTTAAAATATGGGAGAAAATCCTCTGAATAGCAAAAGAAGGCCAAAGTTATTGGTGACCCTTGAGATGTAGGTTCATGGAAGTCTTTTCTCTCCTTCCATATCAGCCAATCAGAAAACAGTGCTAATGTGAAAGTTAGGAGAAAAAAAAAACTTTTTATGGCTCTGATGTGGCTATGGTTGGAAACTCTAAACAAAGCCAAAGTGATTTGTCTGGAACCAGTGGCGCTCCTTTGGCGTGTCATGGAAGCTGCCATCAACTTTTACACATCTTACTCATCTTGATGCCTTTTTTTTCCCCCTTCAGGTGCTGGGTATTTGCATGATGTTACTATCGTTAGCGCTCACCGTGGGCCTGGAATACCAGCAACTTGGGTGGAGAGTTGTATGTGTCCCACAGGATACTTGGGGCAGTTCTGTGAAACCTGTGCCCAGGGCTACAGAAGGGAGACTCCAGGACTTGGGCCTTATAGTTCTTGTGTGCCATGTTTCTGCAACAAGCACAGTGAAACCTGCAACCCTGAATCTGGTAAAGAGAATAATGGGGAATATTGTTGGTGCTAGATTTTGTTTTGCACTTTGATGTCCTGGATGTGATGATTATCTAGACTAGTGTTACTCGACCTTGATAATTTAAAGATGAATGGACTTCAACTGGTGGGGGAATTTTGGGCGTTGAAGTCCACACATCTTCAAGATGCCATGGTTGAGAAATATTGACCTAGATATCACCTTGAATGAATGTCTTACTAATCTAATATTCTTTATTTTAGTTTTTAAATGTCATATTCCAGTGGTGGCTAACTTTTTGGGGCTCCCATGCTGAAAATTGCGTGCGCGCTCACGCATGCGTGCTCTCATGCCAGCACCCAGAAGGCAATCACACACACCCCTTGCCCCCTGCGCATGTACGTGATCCCCCCATGCATGCCACATGTCTGCGCATGCGCACGAGATTCCCCGCACACCCTCACATCTCTGTGCATGCACGCATATCTCCCGCACATCCCCGCATCCCATGCATGCATGCCAGATACCAGACAGTCGGCGGGTGGACGGCGCGTGTGCATATGCAGTGGGGCTCTTCCGGGTGACCTCTCACGTGCTGGCAGAAGTGGCTGTGCGTGCCACTTCCGGCACACATGCCATAAGTTCACCATCACGGTCATATTCCATTCTTTTTATGTATGAAAACATGTTGCTTTATGCACTGCTTTCCCTTGTCTGCATCTAAAACAGGATATTGTGCTACATCTGGAGAATCCCCTGTGAGATAGCTGCTGCTCTAGCGTTTCAGCCTCTGGATGATCAGCTTTCCTCTCTTTACCCCTAGGAGCATGTGACTGCAGAGATAACACTGCAGGTCCTCACTGTGAGAAGTGCAGTGATGGTTATTATGGTGATGCCACCACAGGCACCTCTTCAGATTGCCAGCCATGTCCATGTCCCGGGGGTTCAAGCTGTGCTGTAGTTCCCAAGACCAAGGAAGTGGTCTGTACCAGTTGTCCAGCTGGAACTACAGGTATGCTCTTGTTGAATTCTCATTATGAAGACACAGCTTTGGCAAGCTCTGTTGCATTGCTGGGTAGAGGAGGAATGAATGGACTTGAATTTGTTCTGGTTTTTTTCAGCAAACATAGACTTTTCCCAAGTTCAGACATACTGAATCTCATTTTTATGCAACAAACAAGCAAAGGAGAATTATTTGAGTAAGGATGAAAATGTCAACTTCTGAATCAGTCATTCCAGAAATGCAATTTCTGTGACAGCCCTGGAGCCTGAACCAAAAATATAAATGTAGGAGCTTTGCAGAATTAATTTAAAGTAAAGGTAAAGGTTCCCCTGCACGTGTGTGTTTGTCATTTCTGGCTCCAGGGGGCGATGCTCATTTCTGTTTTTAAGCTGAAGAGCCAGCGCTGTCCGAAGACGTCACCGTGGTCATGTGACTAAATGCCGAAGGCGCACAGAACGCTGTTACCTTCCCACCAAAGTGGTCCCTGTTTTTCTACTTGCATTTTTGACGTGCTTTCGAACTGCTAGATTGGCAGAAGGTGGGACAAGTAATGGGAGCTCACTCCGTTATGTGGCATTAGGGATTTGAACCGCCAACCTTCTGATCGACAAGCTCAGCGTCTTAGCCACTGAGCCATTTAGGCACTCCTAATTCAAATTACTGGATGATAGCAATTAATAACTTCCTTCCTTCCTTCCTTCCTTCCTTCCTTCCTTCCTTCCTTCCTTCCT